CCGCCGCCGCTCCCCGACCCCTGCACCGGGTCATTCTTTGGGCCACTCGTGTTTACCAGTTGTGTAGCTACGGCTCCGCCCCTACAGGCATCCTCAGGGGGGTAAATTTAGTCAAAATTAGTGCTGTAATTAGACCTCCCCTGATCCTGATCACCCAGAACCTGTTTGTAAGCGTGGGCTGAGATACATATGTGTACTCATCTGTCAAAGCCAATGTCCCTACTTCTCATAGAGTGGGGCAAGTCAGTAAGAGTTATGGTTTTCTATGTTTTTCTATTTTTTTTATACATGTGAGTAGAAAAAGGCTCTAGCCCTGGTGCTCGGGCGTGTCAGTACACCCTTTTTCAGTAAGAACTGAAAGAATAAACTGATCCTCTGATCTCTTTCTCCCCACAGAAGCGATTTGCCTGAACGCGGCGTTCCTTCGTGGTTACCCGTGATAACCATCTCACTGGACATCAAAGCCCACAAGAAAAAGAGGGGACCATTTCCTGGGGAAGAAGGTCAGGACTCACGTCTCAAGGCGTTGGGTTTCAACACAGAAGCTGCTGGTGGAGCACCCTCGGCTTTGCCTTCTCCCTGCCACGGATACAGCTTTCTCCTCGCCTGGAGGCTGCTCCTTGAGTGAAAAACCAGCACCCACGTTCCCTGTCACCCCATCTGCAGCTCATCTGTGCCACCTGCAGCGCTGCGCCTGGAAGAGTTCTCAGAGAGCATATGGCCAAGCCACACCATTTCCTGTGCCGGTGACACTTGCCTTTCCTCGATCAGTATCCGGTAAGTCATCCCAAATTTTGCAGATGGAGGAAACGCACCTCCCGATTTTTACATTTTTTTTAGCTCTCTGCCAGCAAGCCACCTCTCTGCTTCTCTAGTCGAGCGTGTCTTTTCCTAGAGGTGTTTTCCTGAGCTGCTTCAGTCGGTGTTAATTTTGAAGCTCCACAGCTTTCACATCCCTCCTCCACCGGCAACTTTGCCCTCACCATCCGGGGAAACAGCCGTGTAGCAGAGGTGGTGGGAGGCACCAGCAGCTCCGTATCCCAGCAGAGACAGCAGCTGCCTGTCTTCTGTGCCTCGTCCAGGGGGGCTGAAAAGACAGGACAAGTCATGTACAGGCAGTGATGGGCTTCATTGGTGGCTCTCGAGACGAGACCAGGTGTTTAGATCCGCTAACATCCGCGTGTTGCCCAGGCCAGAGCTGCCAGGAATGCTGTGTGCAATGCTTTTCTGTTTTACCCAGGTCTCTGAAGGCCAGGGAATGATATTTAGGATGGGGTAGATGTAGTTCAAGGCGTACACGTTATATACCAGCCCTAATTGCAATCCCTTTGGAGCAGTAACGTAAAGCACGGCTGGGGCCCAGGCAGTGGGTGGCAACACCTGAGTCAGAGTCCAAAGGCATCTCAGGAGCGATGATGTTCCTGCACCCAGCTGGTGCCTGCCCTCTCTTGGAGCCGAGCACGGCCTCGTGCCTCCTCTGGGAACACTAACATGATAAAAATTGAGCTGCTTACGCCGACTTGCCCAGTCTTGCTCAGACAGAAGCCCTGGACCACAAACAGATTTAAAGAGCACACAAGCTGCTGTGCTTCTACTCCGTGAGAAGCGTGCACCGGCAGCCAGCCCTGCTTGTGTCAGGGCTTTTTGTTCCAAGTTTAGAAAAACAAAGTTTGTTCACAGCTAGATTAGTAATTGCTTGAAGGAATACTAAACTTCATCAGGAAGGCTCAGAGTGGTAGGTGAAGTAGCCCTTCAGAAGGCAGGTTGCTTCTCTGTCCCTTCCCAGCCATGGGAAGAGGCTCAGCAATCAAGAAAAACATCCCTCCCTCTTGGCTCATAGTTCTTTTGATGGCACCAGCAGGAGCAAGCCTGCCAAGTGGCTTCTGTAGAGCAGAGGAGGTCTTTCCCCTCCATTAGCAGAGAGATCCTCCCTGAGACACGGGGCTTTCCAGCATCTTGGCTTTTTTAGACCTCTCCTGCTCCTACTTACCCTCGTAACGCTGTGGAATAAATCCTAGCACCTATTTCTCCGCGATTTAGAGAATTATTAAAACGGAGGTGAGGTGGGATGGGGGTGTGTATTTTTTTTTTGTAACATACTGTTTTCTCCACCCTGCTCTGTTTGCTTTCTGAACATTTTAACTGTTTTTTTCCCCCGTCTCTGAAGGCCAGGGAATGATATTTAGGATGGGGTAGATGTAGTTCAAGGCGTACACGTTATATACCAGCCCTAATTGCAATCCCTTTGGAGCAGTAACGTAAAGCACGGCTGGGGCCCAGGCAGTGGGTGGCAACACCTGGGTCAGAGTCCAAAGGCATCTCAGGAGCGATGATGTTCCTGCACCCAGCTGGTGCCTGCCCTCTCTTGGAGCCGAGCACGGCCTCGTGCCTCCTCTGGGAACACTAACATGATAAAAATTGAGCTGCTTACGCCGACTTGCCCAGTCTTAAGCACGGCCTCATGCCTCCTCTGGCACTGCTGGGAACACTAACATGATAAAAATTGAGCTGCTTACGCTGACTTGCCCAGTCTTGCTCAGACAGAAGCCCTGGACCACAAACAGATTTAAAGAGCACACAAGCTGCTGTGCTTCTACTCCGTGAGAAGCGTGCACCGGCAGCCAGCCCTGCTTGTGTCAGGGCTTTTTGTTCCAAGTTTAGAAAGTTTGTTCACAGCTGAATTAGTAATTGCTTGGAGGAATACTAAACTTCATCAGGAGAGCTCAGAGCGGTAGGTGAAGTAGCCCTTCAGAAGGCAGGTTGCTTCTCTGTCCCTTCCCAGCCATGGGAAGAGGCTCAGCAATCAAGAAAAACATCCCTCCCTCTTGGCTCATAGTTCTTTTGATGGCACCAGCAGGAGCAAGCCTGCCAAGTGGCTTCTGTAGAGCAGAGGAGGTCTTTCCCCTCCATTAGCAGAGAGATCCTCCCTGAGACACGGGGCTTTCCAGCATCTTGGCTTTTTTAGACCTCTCCTGCTCCTACTTACCCTCGTAATGCTGTGGAATAAATCCTAGCACCTATTTCTCCGCGATTTAGAGAATTATTAAAACGGAGGTGAGGTGGGATGGGGGTGTGTATTTTTTTTTTGTAACATACTGTTTTCTCCACCCTGCTCTGTTTGCTTTCTGAACATTTTAACTGTTTTTTTCCCCCACACATTTAAGAGTACCAGCAACCCTGTATGACTGATGAAAAGGGGTAAATATTTGTAAGAGCTATTCAAAATATCCAGGTAAGGTGCCTTTCTCTCCTTATTTAACCATCAAAGGAGTCACCGGGCCTCTGAAGAACAACATATTGCTCATGCATCCTGAGAAGGGAACCCACTGCAGATGGGTGGTGGAAAATGACCTGCACTGAGGATCGGTTTCAGTACAGAAAGGTAAAGATGGACACACCGTACCCGTCCACTCCTTCTCAGGGCCAACCAGTATCGGCTCTGAAAGGGGAGTGGAGCTGCCCACAGGTCGGTGCAGCAGGTCCCTGGGTCAGGCAGGGGCAGGGGGTGTTAATTGGGTACAAATTGGCCGAGGGGAAGGCAGAGAAGAGGAAGATTGAGTTACTCACCGAGCCTCGCGGCAGCATCGCTTTCCAGAGACATTTGCATGCTCGCTGAATAATGTTTGCTAAGGATGGTTCCAGCGCCCAGTGTTCCAGCAGTGTTTGCAGCTCCAGACTTTTAAATGGCAAATTAATTCTATACACATCTTTCTGACACAGGCTTATTGAGAACGAAGTGCTAGTTGATATTTTAGATTATTTTTTTCCCCCATGCTCGTTTTTAATAGTTTTACCTCAACCAGAATTGATCACCAAAGAGAAGAGAGCTCCTAAAAGCTTGCAAAAGCTGGCTCCAAGAGGGAGCAGCCAGACAGAGGGGATGCCAGTGAGAGCTCCCGGCTGCTCAGTTTAGATGTGGGCACCTGGAAAACTCAAGTCAAGCTGTAACCTGCCCAGGCAAAAATAATCAGGGTGTTTATTAGTTATTTAACAATCTGTCTTGGTATAAACACATGGAAAACCTGCGTCTTGGTTGGTGTGACAGCAGCTGTGTCCACCTTCAATCTCAGAGACAAACTAAGGCAGCCTGAGCAGAGCTATGGTACCAGGCTGTCATCTCCCTGCAGAGGTTGGTGTACAGTATTTTCCTGGACACTACAGGTCATGCCTGTGTGTATATATATATTTGCATACATATATGTTTCTCTCTATGCATATATTTATTTATATGTGCCTATAATATTTCTCCCTATGCATATATTTATTTATATGTGCCTATAAACACATATGTACATACACATACAAGGAGCATCCAAGCTCCAGATTTTAAGCAAGAATCCAAACCCACTGCTTTTTTCTACAGCAGCCAGGAGAAGGAGCGGAGAATGCCATGTGAGTACTGTGTCTGGAAATTTTACTCTGTCTGGAAATTAGCAGGAGCCTAGAAAGAGAAAGCTAATTAGCAACCCTGGGAAGAGAGAATCTGCTTGCAGAGATATGACTTAAATATAAGAAGTTCCACCTAAAACATGAGGAGGAACTTCTTTATTTTGAGGGTGGCAGAGCTCTGGAAGAGGCTGCCCAGGGAGGTGGTGGAGTCTCCTTCTCTGGAGACATTCCAAACCCACCTGGACATGCTCCTGTGGGACCTGCTCTGGGTGGATCTGCTTTGGCAGGGAGGTTGGACCAGATGATCTCCAGAGGTCCCTTCCAACCCCATGTGATTCTGTGACATGTTTTGGCGTCCCCTTGTTTATTCTCTTTTAAAATGCTTTTGTGTTTTGGCGTCCCTTGTTTATTCTCTTTTAAAATGCTTTTGGATGCAGTTGTTACTACTGGTTGGAACATGAATGCTTACCAGCTCCTCCTTTTGTTTCTAAACATTTCTTTGTGTGTGGTTATTATAATTGACCCACTAGGTGAAGCTATGTGAGATGACGATATAAAAAGCAACTACTGTTTCATTTTTTTTGACTTCTTACAAGCATGTTTAGTAGGTCCACAAAGCAGAATTTGATCTGAGTAATGACCGTTAAGTATTTAAAAAAATAAAAATAAAATAGAGAGGGAGAAGCAGCAGGCATTTCACACCCCGCCCTGCGTGTGCATGTCACAAAATTGTGAGGGAGGTACTGGGACAAGCCCTGCGTGTGCTTTGGCACGTCACAAAATTGTGAGGGAGGTACTGGGACAGGAGGAAACACCAGAGGAAGGTGGTGTCCCAGGACTACAGGAGGATGTGAAGGTGCCAGGACACTGGTGAGTTGAAGAGTGGCTTTAGAGGGAGCCTGATACCAAAAACCAGCAGTAAAAGGACTGTGTGGGAAATGGATGCCAGAGCGCACCGGGTGTCACCAAACTCATAATGATGCTTCCAAAGATACCCACCCTTGCGGTGACTTGGCTGAGATCAGAGTAGCTGCAGCACCCAGAGGAATAAAAAGCAGGAATTACCCAGAACACACGTTGTGTTTGCTTCTCGGCAGGACAACTGCCTCAGAACCACCTTCCCTCCCCTGCAAAGGGTGAAGAAAGGAGAAAGAAGCCAAGGCCAAGAGTGACCACGGCAAGAACAAGGACTTCTCCTGCGCGGCGGTGGCACAGCAGCCTCTGCTCTGGGCCTGGCCGGGGGCTTCCTCGGGGACGCTGGGCACGGTGAGCTGTGAGCACCTCCTCTGAGACAGGCAGCAAAGCTATTTTTAACCCCTCAAGAGT